TCTGCTCTCTCTGTGTATGTGCATGTGTGCGTGTGTGTCTTGAATAAACAACTAGGGCTTCTAAGCCATTCAGGCTGATACGGTGCTCAAGAGCATCCAATATGCATAAGACTGGAAGATCCAACAGCGTTATTTGAAAGCTTCTATGGCAGCAAGCCCTGCAAGGAATTGTGGTTTTGGGCTCTGCCTGAATAGACCAATCCATTTACACACCCCTAAGTTTCAAGGTGTGCAATGCCACACCGTAGCTTACCACACTGCATCAACGACAGCTGGACAGAAGAAACACCAGACCCTACAAATAATCCTTCAGATGATTATCTACAAGGGACTCTGACTCCTGCATGTTCAAGAGTAGCAGCAACGTAATAACCACAACCCTAAAGCTTCTGCATAGCCTGAAGCGCCTGATCCTGTCTAATCTTGGAAGCTAAGCAAGATCAGGCCTGGTTCAGATCTGGATGGGGGACTTAAATGTTGTGAACTGCCCAGAGAGCTTAAACCACAGGCAGAGTAGAAATGTAATTAATAATGAGAATAAGAACAACAACAATAGCAATAATGCCACAATGTGAAAATTAAGAGAGCTTGGCGTAACCAGGAGTGAATGGTTTGTGCAGAAGGACTGAGGTCCATTCAGTTCTGTTACCCCCAGATGAATCCCCATCCATCTCCTCCGTCTAAGAAAATCACAAATACATGAATAGAAGGGACATCCCTTAATTTAATGTAGCTTGAGATTGTGGTGATGTTGCCTTCTTCATACAGTAAGAATGTACAATATTCAGTTGTGGACTTATTTCTACATAGCATTTAAGATCTGCTTTTTTCTTCTTTTGTGAGGAAGACAAAGCAGTTGAGCTCCTCACCTCTCCCTTACGAGATCCATTCAGCAGCTGCTGCCTTGCTTGGCTCTCCCTACCCAGCACTTCTCTTCACCTGAGCAGCCCTGCACTCCTTCTCCCCGATTCTGTTTCCATCACGCAGCTGACAGAGGAGGAGAGTGGCTTGTTTGCAGGAAGTCTGCTGTGCCTCTGGAACCCCGTGCCTAGCAACCACATCCCATACTGTGGTGAGACGCCACAGAAGCTACTCTGCAGTGCACTCTGTGAACATGACCTCGAATGCCTACTGCTATTCAAGTCCAAATGCTCTCTCTGGCCCAAAGGACTGCTTTAAGCAAGTTCCAGTACAACTGCAGAAACTTGCTGGAGCAGAGACTTCCCATAATTACACTGAGGCACCACCGTTATTGATATTTGATTTGGGTTTGGTGAATTGCTGTCCACTGAGAAACTATATGGAGACAGGAAATGAGTAAAGGAGCTGCTTAGAGGCGAGTCATGGTCCCTTTGCCTTATCTCTCTCTCTCTATCTGGGTTTTGGGTAATAAGGGACGCTTACAAAGCTCATGCTTCTCTGGAACGATGGAGAGCCACTCCTGACATGTTCTCAAGCCAGCATTGAGATCAGCCAGCCAAGAAGTGCATCTGTGAGGAAATAGCCCTTCCTGTTTTGGCCTTGTTTGAGTTCATCCCAATCATTTCATGAGCCGATGTCACAATCAGTGGAGGGGGTCTCCAAAGGACCTTTGAGCATGTCTCTGGGATTCTACCATCCCTCACCATCATTCTCACCTTCCAGGTGAAGGACAGAAAGAATAGCCAAGGCTTTTTGGACTCAGGTCAAGTTCTGAAGAACTGATACAGGTTGGTGACAGCATTAAAGGCTTTCTGGGACCAAGATGAGCTAGGGTGGCTTTCTGCCATCACCGAGGCACCGTATAATCCCAGAGAAGCTGAATGGGTAGCTGGAAACCACTGAGGCCTTGCTGGAGCATGATCCTTTCCTATCATCCTCAGGAAGAGCTGATCCTCATGCACCTAAAAGCTTAATCAGGCAATCTCAACCACAAACACGCAATCTGGACATGACTAACTATGAAACCACAGGACAGATAGCATGGACAGGGGTTGTGGGAGTTGTAGTATGAAACACTTGGAGGCCAGCAGCTTGCCCACTCCTGTCTTTGACCAACTGACTTTGTTCTCTAAAGAGCTATTGGTCGAGAGAGCTCCTTGGAACCACCCTGTGTCTTTGCAACACATCCCTAATTCCCAGTTGCTAGAGTGGGGGGCAAGTTTACAGAGGGGCTGATGCCTTCCTTGCCATATTCTGTCTTCCTTGGAAATCTTGGTTGCACCTTGTGTGACACAGAATGAACGACTCTTTGCTCCAACTGGAGTAGCAGATCTATCCTGCAGCCCCTAGAAAGCATCTCGAGGCCTATCGTATGCTCCAGAGTCCCAAAGTTCCTGGACTGCGGCCAGAAGTGAGCTCCAACCTCAGAGCTGGGGATCCACCCTCAGTTTCCCCACATTGCAGCTTGTACAGAAAGTACTATGGCATCTGGCTCTCTGAGCAGACTCAGAGGATGGCTTTTGGGGGTGTTGAGGGCAGGAGGAAAGTGGTACATCATATCCTGGTGGTGCCTTAGCTTCCTTCCTTTCTGCCCCATAGGACCGTTCTTCAGATGTTTGGGCTCCCAGGAGCCTCTTCCAACATGTCCAATGGTCAAGAATGTTCCAAACCAAAGTCCAGTCCTTCTGGAGATCACTTTTCGTCCCAGTCCCAGAGCCAAGGGCAATCTCCCCGCCCCAAGTAGAATTATCACTCTACCACTGACTCTACTCTACCACTGACCTTGGTTCAAATTCTGCAACTTTCCCAAGGGAATTGAACACGTATGCACATACCCAAGAGCTTCTGCCAATGCTTCACTGTCACCTGTTTCTATTGGAAGAACATGGGAATATGGAGGGAGACATGAGAGGTGACATGATATCCCGCTATAAGTCCCTCAAAGGCTGTCCCAAAGAGGAAGGCCAAGATCTCTCCTTGCTGATGCCAGAGTGCAGGACACGGAATAATCAATTCAAATTGCGACAACCCAGGTTCAGCCTGGACATCAAGAGCTCCCTCACTGACAGAGCAACACGACATTGAACCCAGCTGCCTGGAGAGGCGGTGGGCTCTCCCACACTGGAGGCATTCACAAAGAACCTGGACAGTCCTCTGAGTGGGATGGTGTGACGTGGTGTCCTGCAAGAGCAGGGGGTTGGACCCAATGGCCTTCATGGCCCCTTCCAACTCTACTATTCTCTTATTCTATGACAGTCTTCACTGAAGCTTTTGAACCCTCCCACCTCCAGCTGTTTCCTGAGAAGTCTTTCTGGCTCAACAAACCAGTGCAAACTACATAGACCGAAGCGGGAGGATAAAAAAACCTCTCACAGGCATGTGTGCATGTTTATCACACACACACTTAAAAATAAAATAAAAAATGATACTACTGCTTAATTATTGTTCGCAAATCTCCGGTATTTAAATTGACTTATTTGCAAATGTCTGTTTAGAAATTGACTCTGTAATTATAAAGTCAGCGCAGGCATATCGCAGGCCCTAGAGGGGTCTCTAACGAGGAATGATAATGTACCAAGCAAAGCAAGTCTCCTGAGTTGCATTCTAATACTGGAGAGGCAGTTCCAAGCTGCAGCGGAGAGGGTCTGCTGGAAATCTCAAAACCTAAGCTGGAGTGAGAAAGAGATGCATATCTAGGCAGAGATAAAACCAACAGGGAAGGGGTGATGCCGGTGGGTGGGGATCTCTTTCCCTTCCGGCTCCAGAAATCAGATCAGATTTGTAGCAATCGTCGTTTGAGTGCAGAATGAGAATGAGGCTGCCTTCTGGCCAGAGACAGCTGCTTGGTGCTACGCAGAAATACCAGCTCTACCATCCTCCAACCTGCAGTTCCTTCACAGGCAGGAATCCTATGCAATTCAACACAGCCAACAGAGTCCCATCTTTGCAATCTTCAGCTATTCAAATTCAGTAGATGCACCTTAGCTCAATGTGAAGGTGCGTTCTGCAGGGCAATTCGGAATTTTGGAATCTGGGATGGGGCGGGATAACAGGACAGAGACTCACTACCTGGGTGTCATCACTGAGAACTCACTGTTCCATGATTTCACAGGCCACTGTGGGCCAGAGCAGCTTAACTTCTGAAGCATTTGCCCTACTGGTAGACCTTGGGTGGTCTCCTGGAGATCAGCCAGACCTTCTGATTCCCAGCCGTTCAGGAAACACAGCGTGACCCCACCTTCCATATTTCCATACATACCACAATTGCAAAAGTCTTGTTCTTAGCGTTCCTTGCCTATATGCACAGATTGCCTCTGCCCAGGTGGTTTTGGGCATTTCTGAGAGTCAGATTTAGAATGCAGTGAAATGTAGATGTATTCCAAGGTAGACATTGTTCTATTTGGGTGCACAAATCAGCTCAGCTCATGGAGCTTAGGAAGTAATTGGCTTCTTGTGGTTCGGCCCACTGAACCCTTTGTACCTGACTTTCATTTGATAGAAACTATGACAGCACAGATTCCACAGGCCAACGGTCTGCCTATCCCGATGTAGAGCTTCTGAGAAAGCTGTTTGAGTCAGGCCAAAGAAGTCACCCCAGGACAGTGAAGTCAATACAGTATTGGCATTTAAAAAAGGTAAAGGTAAAGGTTTCCCCTTGACATTAAAGTCCAGCCATACCTGACTCTAGGGGACAGTGCGCATCTCCGTTTCCCAGCCGAGGGAGCCAGCGTTTGTCCGGAGACAGTCTCGGTGGTCGTGTGGTCAACATGACTAAACACCGAGGTACACGGAAGGCACCTTTTCATCTACTTGCATTTGAAGGCTTTCGAACTGCAAGGTTGGCAGGAGCTGGATCGGAGCAACGGGAACTCACTCCATTGTGCAGATTCGAACCGGTGACCTTTCGATCAACCAGCCCAGCAGCACAGCGGTTTCAACCACTGCGCCACCTGCATCCCAGTATTGGCATTATATGATCACAAATTTAAGCTCCCACAAGCAATCCGGGTAGTGTATAATCAGTTTCGTAACTCCTTTTCAAGGCAAGAACCACATGGAGCACATGAGTTGCATCTTACCTTAGTGCAAGCAAGTCACCATGGGAGTACTGGCCTAGAGGGTGGTCTGGAGGCACACACGGCATCCACCATGTTGGAGCTAAGCAGGTCCGGGCCTGGCTTGGGCTTGGAGGGGAGACACCTGGGAGCCACCTTGGGAGAAAGGTAGGATAGAAATACAATAAACAATCAACCAAAGTACGTTGAGAAGATCAGCTTCTCATTTCCCAAAATGCATGCTCATTTTGTGCCAAACTTCAGAAGCTTTTTTAAAACTACTAATAAAAAGCAGACTCTTTTGTGTGCAGTTCTCTTAATCAATGCATTTTGGTTAGCTTTTTTGCAAGTCCTTTTCCTAACAGAATATATTTGTGAATGTTACTTTCACAAATGCATGCATTTTTTCCTGTGTCCTCCCCCCGCAATATATTCTTTCTTGAGTGACTGTTTTGTTAGCTGAACTCCAATTAAGATTAAGAAAGAACAAGTTTCAAAGGTAATGGATTTTCAGTGCACAGAGTGGCTTGAAAATGAAACATTCAGGAGGTTTGCAAGCCAAACAAAATTTTTCCCCATCCCTACTTGGCATTTCCAGCACATAAGATTGTTCTTGGATGCAGATGGAGACCCTAATTGAAGTTAAAGACTCTGCAAAGGGTAGGCCTTCCTTGAGTTTTTACTTTAGTAGTCTCTCTGTCTCAAAGAACAAAGCCCCTGGTGAGATAATGAGATGTACAGATAATAATATACTAAAGGCTAGATTAAGTATCTTCCCTTGGATATATTGCTATGCATGTTCGACTGTGGGTGGCGTGTGGACAGAGGTTGGCAGTATCGTATTTCTTCCTTTGCACTCTTTAATTTCAAGCACTTCGGCTAAGACAATAATTGTTCGGGGGACAAGCCTATTACAGACATATTCGTGCATTAATTAAAGGCATCAAGGAATCTGCAACGTTTGCTATTGATTCAGAGACTCACAGATAATTAATGGCTCTTGATGACACTTCTGCGGGGAGAGGATAAGTTTTCTGGCAGTGCTGCACATATGTAGGATGGGATTATTTTCTCTTCTAGAAGTCCACTTTGACTCTTAAAGATGCACAAAAAGGATGTAGCAGAGAGCTTGTAAAATTTGCCGGCTGTCTCTGTCTGTGAAAAAAGCAAATAAGAGCAAAGAGATTCTCACTTTGTTATTTTATTAATATTATATTATTCTAGACATCTGTTGCTCCCACAGAGCAGGGATACAAGCAGAGGGAGAAAACTTCAAAGCAGCAGAGTTGGAAGAAGCATTTGGAGAAACTCCATAACCATGAAGATGGTTGAACAGCAGCTTGGGAGCTGATGGATCTCCTTTGCTGGAGGTATTTAAGCAGAGGTTCCATGGCAACATGCCAGGGATCTGCTACTTGCATCCTGCACTGAAAAACTTGCGTTATTGTGTTAGGTTCTGGGCACCAAGATTTAAGAAAGAAGCAGGTAAATTAGAAAGAGTCCAGTGAAGGGCAAGAGAAATGATCCAGGGTTTGGAAACACTGTCCTGTGAGGAGAGACTGAGGGAACTGGGCACATTCAGCCTTGAGAAGAGAAGACTGAGGTGGGACATGGTATCCCTCTAGAAGTACCTCAAAGGCCATCACAAAGAGGAAGGTCAAGATCTCTTCTTGCTGATGCCAGTGTAGAACACGGAATAATCAATTCAAGTTGTGGCAACTCAGATTCAGGCTGGACATCAGGAAAAGCTTCCTCACGGTCAGAACAATACAACAGTGGAACCTGACTGTCAAAGCAAGCGAGGGATAGTAATGTTAAGGAAGCAGACGGTGAGCAAGAACAACTGGTGACCACGACTGTGAGAAGACATAGTGAGGGGGAGTTCCACCAAAGGTATCTTGCTCAAGGGTCTTCAAAAAATTGGACCTCCTGGCCACAGACATTGGAGGTGATTTATCCTCTACAATGGCTTAGTTTAACCAGCGACTTCAAGCAACTTACATCAACTGGTGTTGAAGTAAGATTCAACCACCATATTTCTTGTCTACCTCCACTGACAAGGTATTTCCTGCTGGACATGAGGCTGAACCTACTAACAGCAACTGTTTATTGCCAAACTTATTTATTTAGTAGAAGATTTTCCATCCCATCCACTACAAAAGTCTTGGGACCACTTACAAAAAATGAGTAGAATGAAGCAAATCCCACAGCATCCAACAGCTGATATACTAAAATCCCAGTTAAATCAATTAAACATTAAAATAGTGGGGAAATAAGGTTTTTGCGTGACACCAAAAAGAATATGACGTCTTAACGAATATAATATTTAAATTAGGAAGACAATGTGCTTTTCTTCTTTCTTTCTGAGGAAAGAGACTGCCCCCTCTCACCCCACTGCCTGTGCAGGCCAGCTTGGACTTCTGCAGTGCGGTTGTCTGTATTCAGTATAAGAAGTTTGAAGCCACACACACCGCACATCCAAATTTATTGTGCTTTCCTTCCCATGCTCCTCTTAATGACATCCTCGCCTTAATGAGGAAAATATGACCAGCACTCACCAGCTATAATTCATAGATGCATCCTGATTAGTCAGACTTGTCACGAGCTGATAAAATATGCCAATCGCAGAAGTGCTTTGCTTCAAAATGCAGCTGACAGAACAAGAACCGTCAGGATCGCTGGGACATTGGGGGAAGTCTCTTTGTGGGCATCATGCAGTCCTCCTCCTCCTCCTCCTCCTCCTCCTCCTCCTCCTCCTCCTCCCTAGGACAGGAGCAAAAGAGATAGTGAGGGGCTGTCCGAATTGCTGTTTCAGGCCCAGTCCCCTAGCAAAAGTTAATCCCTCAATGAAATTAGATCAAATGCCTGAGGAGAGGGATCAGGCCTGGGGGTTGTACAAGACTGGGCTGCAAAAGAAGTGGCTGCACTGGTTCATAAGAAGTTGCAGGGCACTGGAGCTGAACCTGTTCTGGTTGTAAGTTCCAGTCATGTTTGCAGAAAGAGAGGCAGGTGGGGAGAAGGATGAATAGGGGAGACTCACTGCCCTGAGGGACTATATGAGGGCCCCTCATTACAGGAAGGATATAGCCAGGTTGGAGTCAGTGCAGCGCAGGGCCACAAGGTTGGTGGCTGGTTTGCAGGGGGGGCCGTATGAGGCGAGACTGGGGGAACTGGGTCTCTTCAGCCTGGGGAAGAGGAGACTCAGAGGGGATCTGTTGGCGACATGTAGGTATGTGAGGGGGTGTCACACGGAGGTGGGTAGAGGCCTGTTCTCTCCTGCAGAGGAGGGCAGGACGCACTCCAACGGAGCAATGTTCAGGGAGCCAAGGTTCCATTTGGGTGCCAGGAAGCACGGTGGGCTCAATTTAGCGCAAGAAATAGGACAGGAAACTGGCACCTGAATGGCCCGTTTTGGTCCACGTGAGTTTGGCGTCCTTGACCCTGGTGGTGAATTAAGGCATGGCTCCAGCTCAGTCCAAGCACTTTTGCAGCAGCCCCACACAGTCACCATGGCTGGGATTTGCCCCCGAGTGCCCCGCTGAGGGCAAACAATGGGGCGATTGTCAGCGAGGCCAAGGGGGTGAATTTTCACAGGGCTGTAATTCACTCCGAGACAGCAGCTGCCTCAGCACACAAGACTGAATGCTGCCAGGGTGTGAATCGGCTCAGAGACAACCTTGACAGGGAGCGGAGGGAAAATTCAGAAGCCCTGCAAGGCAGAGAGCTTCCCTGAGCCTTTGCCAGGGAAGGAACAAGGCCTCTAAGAGTCTTTCGCTGGCTTCAGTTGGACAGAAAGCACAACTATTCCCATGAACAATAGATGCTGTACAATATATGCAAGGAGGTTCCATCTCGAAAGAATGAGCCATTGAGGGAGAGGCTGACATCTCCAATAATTAGGCCATTCATTGAGGAATCTGGTGGCCAGTGGAGAGTAATTTACTTAAAAGGTTCAACAGCATGCCCTCCAACATTGCATGCATGTAAATAAGGACACATTTGCGAACGAACATCAACCGGTGTGGCTCAGATGCATGCGGGCTCCAGCATCCAAACATGGCATTCCATCTTACTTTTACTCCAATCTGTTCAGAAATTCAGATTCTGCCAATTTTCCATTTCCCTAAAAGCAGTGCGCCTGCCCAGGGGTGGAGATAAACCTCCCACCAAGCACCCCACTCCCTCCCCAGTTACTTCCTAGCCTGGCAGTGCATGTCTGGAGCTTGGAAGGAAAGGATCTTGCTTCCCAGGGCATAGCTGGTTGTGACAGTCCTGTGGCCTGAGGAATAGTTGTGCCAGGGGGTGTTTTGGGAGCCTCCCCGGAGTGCTTGTTGGGTGTGGTGACCTCCTTGGACCTCCAACTTATCCTCACGCAGAGCAGAAGTGCATGTAAAGCATTCTTCGCAGTTGCTCCAAAACCATGGGAACGGGGTGTCATGGCAGGTGGACCTCAAGTGCTCCTGGGCCTCTGGGCTGGTCCATGGGTCAGTGAAGGCCCAGTTCTCCTCTGGTCCAGAAGCAGGACTGTGCTTATTTGTGGGGCTGCACGCCCTGCCCCTCTGCAGCCGGTGGGGCCTCCTCCAGGGAGGGCTGTGCAGGAGAAGCCGGGCAGCTTGCCCTGCTTTAGGAAAAGAGACTGGATCTTGGGGACCAATGTCAGCGTCCTCCACAGCATCTATTTGACCTTGGAGTGTGGGCTCCAGCGCCAAGGACAGAGCACAGCACGTCCCGTTGTGAAAAGGCACGTCCTGCCTGTGATTTCTCGGGAAAGCTGATGGGCCAACCAAGTGAAGGAGAGTAAGGAAGACAGAGCAGGTGGCTTTTCCAGGGCACACGCCTCGTCCATGTGCTCCCAATTTGAAGAAGTGAACTTCAGGAGTGGAAAGACATGTCTTTGCAGCATGTTTCTCTGCTGCTGGAAAATGGCAACCGCATTAACTAAAGTGGATACCTGGGACCGAGAGAGTGTTGGAGCCGGCTTGCTGGAGGCTGCCAGAAAAACAAAGCTTCCCACAGACAAAAAACCAAAGCTTTCCAGCTGGCGGCTGCAGAACAGGCCACGAGAAAGAAAAGTCAGAAGGACTTCTGATCCCTCAGCACTGCCTGTTTTTCCTTCCACTTGGGGGAGGTTGCTAGTCTGTGACCAGTGCAGTATGTGGTACATCTTTCGGCCCTAGGACTGAATGGGACCACGAAGGCAAAGGATTCTGGAGAAAGGGTGGGGTTGGGGGGGGTCGCCCTCTGGAGAACCTGGAGGGCTGGGTTGGGGCCTTTGGTGGAGCCATGTTGCATACCAGGCCTGAGGTTCCTCACTCCTCCTCCAGCAGAACACCCCAAGTCAACAATATCTGTATCTGAGATGAAAAAAGGAGAAAGGATATATGTGTGAGAGAGACAGAAAGAGCAAAAATGCTGTCCTTCTACTGGAAGAAAGCAACTGCTGACAAATCTTGCCATCAGCCCCTCTGAATTGCAAGAGGAAACTGACCTCAATCTCGAAGAGGTTAATTGTTATTCAGAGTGTCTCCAGGACGGCAGGGTGACAATGGGACCTGCTCCCCATCTTCCAAGCAGCAGAGGAAACTTGGAGCCCCAAGAGCTGACAGCAAACAACCCTGCGGAAAGAAGGAAAAACGCACAAGTGAAGTCTGTGAGAAGACGGAATCTCCGTATCTTTCAAACTCCTCAAGGGGTAGGCAGAGAAACAATGGCGAGAGAAAAAATTAAGTCCACGCAAGAGCCCTTGAAAGCAAAAATAGTAATAGAAAAGCGTAGAAGAGGGGAATCGTTATAGAAAAGCAGATTGGTTCAAATAATTGAAACTGGTTAGTTTCAAATAATTCAGAAGGATGGCAGAAGGGATCATAAATGCAGGGAAGGAGGGAACTGTCCTTCCTGTGGGATACTGAGTTGTTTGGAATAAACATGCAGCAAGGGGTGAAGAGAAATAAACTGGGCAAGCTGTCAGTGGGGTTCCTTTTGTATTTCACTGGTCTAGGAATGAAATAAAGTTATCCATTTCTTCTAGTCACAGCAGCCTCTTTTATTCATAAACACCCACAGAATCTGTGCAGGTTGGAAGCTGCATCTCTGCTGTGGGATCTCTGAGTCAAATGAAGTCACTGGGACCCATTTCAGTTTTCTCTAGTGCTGATGGGTCAGAATTTAGCCCCAGTTCCTATTTGAGCAAAATGAACCCACATTTGCAAATTTCAACAGATTCTAAATGGAGAGTCCTTCAGATATTGGGAGAGAAGCCAAAACTGGCTGGTGTGTCCATCCCTATGGCTGCTATTCCTTCCACTAAACCAGTATCACCATGGAAAAAGCTGCCCTTCTCTCTGCTCAGGAAAGGAGAAGAAAAAACCAGCAACAGATGTCAGCTGTGTTGTGGTACAGGGCTAAAGTGCTCACCTATTCCATTATCTGCATCTGTTGTTGCTTATCTCCGCTTCTCTGCCACTTCCTTCATCCCAAAGTTCTTGTAAATGCCTTTGTTTGTTCATGCAGAACACTCTTCTATTATCCTCTTTTGCATTGATCTCTGAGCCATTTCATTTCAATATTGATCACCTGAAGGGAAGAAATTGACAGCAGATGGAAGAGATGAGAGGTGTGTGCCAAAAGCAGCTTCTGACCATGTTGCTGCAGGCAGCCAATTCTATTCCATAGCATGTTGAAATCTTCTCCTGCAGGTTGGCCCAACAGGAGCCGTGGCAACCAGCATAACATCTTTAAATGGTGTGCAAGAGAGTGATGTGCTGAAAATCCCCGCCATGTTTTCTTCCAACCATTTCAATCCAATAGAGATTAAACTGCTTCAAGAAAATTGGAGGAGGAAAAGCAGTGACATTTTCAAGGGTGGGGGCTCTGGTGCTTCTGCTTGCTTCAGTTGTAAGCTGGCCAAGGGGGGCTGGATTGCATAATCATCTAAATGGCCTCTTCTAGCTGCCCTTGTTTCTGCACAACAACTAAAGCCCAGCAGATATGATAAATTAACTCTTCCAGGAAGTGTGGAAAGCTGGGGAAGTTCCAGAAGGATGGGTAGATGGAAGGAAGAATGCAGAACACCCTTTGACCACCTTGAAACTGTCTCTATATTTACCATAAAAGCAATCAAAATGTGTAGAAACATGGAAACCTGCTTCCACAGAGGAAGAATTAGATGTGGGTGGGACTGGTTCTACCACAGCACCAAGCCTAATGCCCTCTCCGAGTTGCCTTCCTTATTTGTAGGCAGAACAGTTTCTCCAAATTTCACCATGGTGGGAGGAGAAATTCCTCAACCAGCTTGGCACACCACACACATCCACCACAAGTGGACCATCCCATACCGCTCGTTAGCTAGTTCTGTGTCATCTGCATATTGGACAAGTTTTCCCTGCACTTCCTGATTCGAATCATTAATCAACATGTTGAAGAGCTCTAGAGGCAGGAATGAACCCTGCGGCACCCAGCCCCTTACCTCTCCCCAGCTTGAGAATGCGCTACTGATGACCGCTCTTTGAGTCGGATTCTGTAGCCAACTGTGGATCCACCTGGTAATTGTTGCTTCTAGCCCACTTTTGGCTTGTTTGCTAACCAGGATATCATGGGCCACTTGGTCAAAAGCTTTGCTAGAGATAGATTATGTCCACAGCATCCCCACAGTCCACCAGGGAGGTTACTCAATCAAAAAATGAAAGCAGATTAGTCTGGCGGGATGTGTTCTTGCGCATTTCTGTTGGCTTCTAGTTTTCAAAGTGTTCAACAGAGTGACTGTGCTTTTATAGTCTGCTCCAGAATTTTCCCAAGGACTGATGTCAGGCTGACTGGTCTGTAGTTCCCAAGATCTTCTCCCCTGCCCCTCGTCTTGAAGATAGGGACATCTGTCCTTCTCCAGTCCTCTGGCACTTCCCCATCCTCCATGATTTCTTAAAGATAATAAACAGTGGTTAATCATTTCTGCTGGGCAAGACCAGGTCTCTCACCCCATTGCCTCTGCCTTTGTCTCTTCTTCCACTACAACTCGACCCCAAAACTCCTGTTCATTTTCCCCACTCACTCTGCACTCTCCGTGAACTTGGCTACTTATTTCCCAGAAATCCTAGACCAGCTCGGACAACTTATTCTCCTGTGCTCAGCTAGGAGTCAGAAACCAGAAACCATGTTGTGATATGCATTCCCCTGTACGTTCTATCAGCATCAGGAGGACAGCATTTTCATCATGCAATGCACATCTGGTATTAAAAATGGAGGAAGCAGGGTACAGCCTCTGAATGTCCCATTTTTAGTGAAGTGATGGGGTTACGGTAATCTTACTTTCATGAGATGAGAAAAATACTTTATAAATCCTTGCTCTAAATAGATAATTAAGTGGGTTATGAACCAGGAAGAATTATGTGATAGATTGGAAGACAGAGAGAAAGAACAATTGAAAAGAAATGGACAGACGGACATTCAATGGATGGGTGGACGGACAGGCAGGCAGTTGGACAGACAGATGATAGATTCAACGTTCCTTCTTAGATTTGAAACTGATCAATAATGATGAGTCACCCTTATATGCATTAAAAGAAAAAAAATCATCAAGTCCCCGAATATCGTCCCACCCCTTAAAATAGAGAGGGATGGTTGCCCAAAGTACTTCAAATCAGTGCTTAGGGTTGAATCTAAAAAGCCTCTCCTGGGAACAGAGGAAAGGCTGCGACTAATGCTAAGATATAAACCATCTCCTAAGCAGCCCAAGGCCTAGCAACAGTAAGGCTTAATATATAGAGATATAGATAGATATAGATAGATATCCCTCTCCTAGACAACCCAGTATTAAATCAAGCACAAGGCAGGAAAGAGGCTGGAAAGGTTTCGAGCTGACTGGCTCCCCTAGGAAAGCATGCAACAGGAGAAAGGTGGGGAGAGATAAATAAAGCAAACAAATAGCCGGCAATGGATAAACGAAGATGTCTCGGGCTAAGAAACATCACCAAAAGGTCGCCTTCATTAAGCACTCCATCAAGTCAAGCTCTCCTTGCTGTTGCCACGGCTGTCTCAACAATGGCGCACAGGCCCAGTGCGGTGCTGCAGTTCTCTCCATTGCTCATTTTTATCTGTGAGGGAAATGCATTTTATAACCCTAATGTTATTCCTGTCTCGCCACTGCGGTGATGGACTTTTAATGTCACCATCTCTGAGGAGCCAGAGAGAGGCAACCTCCTCCCAGCCGGGCCGACCTCTGCTTTGAGAGCCATCAGCTGCCTTGAGGAAAAAGGCATCCAGGAGGATATGAATACCCCGCTAAAATGGCTGCCGGGAAGCAGACAAAACCCGCAGGAACCATGGGAAATGGCTGGGTATCAACACAAGAAAAAACAGCTTGGAATCAAAGCTGCCATTTTGTGTGTGATGGTCTCAATGCTTCTCTTCACTGCCTTGACCAAGAACAGATGGTGGACCCATCTTCAGGATTTCCCATCTGGGCCTGCCAGGTGTAGGCATGGAAGAATGATAAGAAAACCCAGTTCAGAACTGGTCCAGTATGTAGAACACCTCTCAAAGAACTATTTTGGGGTGGGGGGAAGTGTCCTTTTTTCCCTCCAGCTGGAAATGTTGGTGGATGGGTGTTGAGAAAGCATCCTACATCTGTACCAGCTCTTAGTTCTCTCATTTTCTCATTTCTCCACTCCTAAACTCAGTTCAACCTGAATGCTGAGTTGTTTCATTCATTTCTGTGTGCATTCCCCCTAATGCATCCATTCCTGTAAGCAAATGTGCCTGATAGACACATTCCTTGCAGGAAATTTTCCCAATATAGTATATTTTAATGCACTTTTCAAAATGCCTTGTATTATTCTCATGGAGAACTTAACTACAAAACTCAGAGAAGTGAGAATTGCAAAGGGCAACTGATCTTTGGCCTGTTTTGGTTTGGAAATGCAAACCAAACTTGTTTTCTGGTTTGAAAATGCAAAATTAGGTCAGTTTGCAGTACCATGTGAGTCAAACATCTTTATCCCCTCTCTGTTTAGGTGTCAGATCCATACATCTTATGCTATATATTCCGTAAATGTTAGCATTTCACACCCCTGACCATGTGCCAAAACAGGATGCAAAAGAATGAGTGACAGTTAAGATCTGGATGGGGAACAGAAGGAAAGAATTGTAAGAATTGATTATGCACTTATTTGCTGTGAGCTGAGATAACTGACTGCATGCTTCCATTAATAGTAAGCATTTCTGTGCATCCGTGCACCTGCAAAGAAACTTGATCACCCAAAACGTTAATCATCCGTGACGTTCAGAAAGTCCTTTTACATTCAATTAGAGAGAAACGGTGCTCAGTTCATAATATAACCAAGCATTAGGAGCCAGACACATCCTTAGCTTTTAAAGCAGGTAATTACAGATTTTAGCCATTTTTCTGTTGCAACCAGTACTTGGCAGAACGGATGTTTTAGTCGTGGACTTCGTATGTGTTTCCTTGAAGAAGGATACAATTCAGTTTCCCATGAATGCTGTCATCCTTTTCACGGACACTTTAATTCAGCAGGCTTCCTTGTCAAATTCCAATTCATAATGAGCAGTTTTGTATGCTTCAGAAACTTGGATTGCCAAGTTCAGATTGCTAATCTTACAACTATAACAACGGCGGCAAGTTAGCAAGGAAGATTTGTCCTCCCTGATGTACGATGCATGCCAACATCCATTCAGCTCAAAAATATCACTTTCGGATTGCATATTGCAGAATTATTGTTATGGAATGCCATATTTACTTAATGCTATTTACTAATCCTGGAGTACTTTAGGGCTTTATGATTTCAGACTGCACCTGGAATGGACTAGTAAAGGGTCTAAGTGCTCCCCTTTGCCAGTAAATGTGTGCATGCAGAAGGAGAATAGCCATCCACTAGCCATCCTAGTGCTCCTTAAGAAGAAAGGTTGCCTTTTTTAACATTGTGGTTACAGTCAAATGTACAGTCCTTCATGTGGACTGGAGACTTTGGAGTGTGTCCAGTGATTTTTTGTTATGCAGTTTGACTCTATCTGCCTTAAATAGATGCTTTGCCAACCAAAGGTCAACTGTGGAAGATGTGAAGTGAAATTAAGAGTGCCCCTGAGTGTGTGCAGAGTGTCTTTCTCCCACTGCAGGCATACACCATAAATCTGCAATTCTCTCTTCTATTTAGCCACTGTTGCACTGTGCTTCACACACGCACACACTTCCCAAAATTAGATTCAAGCATCTGCACTAGGTAAACTATTGATCTGACGATGACAAGTAAAGATCTCTGGGCTTCTTTTCTGGCTGGTATAGAAACACTGAGGCTGAATTTATCTGGTTGCATCAAAGAGATCCAATTTTCTCCCAGCGAGTGTTCCAACAACGTGTTTGTGTACCTGGACCGTGCACTCTGCTCTCAGACCGAAGACGCCAGAGTTAGCAACTCCAAGTTTTGGTCAAAAGCATGGGAGAGGGCACTGACCCTTTGCAAAACCAGAAGAAGTCTCTTGACTTGGCTGTGCAACCCTAGCAGAGGCTCCGAACCAGCACTGGGGCGAGTTCTCGCATTTTGTTGCTGGTTCGCTCTCCATGGTGCTGATTTCGAGCCTAATTCCAACCCTGTTCTGCTCCAGAATCTCTTCAGCTGCAGCCCACCGCGGGTCCCTCACCCCTCATTTGGGCTGTCACTGCATGGGGATGATGGATTCCATAATGGAATACAACACTAGCATCCGCTAAAAAATAGCTCTAAATAGCCCCATAAATAACAGCCGAATGATTGCAGTGTATATTCTAATAACGGCTGGTATAATAACTACCCCCCCTTCCTCCATCAGCAATCCCCATTCAGGGGCAACATGCCAAATGGAGAAGCGAGATTGCTGTGTCTGTTCAGCAAATTCCTTCTGACAAAATCTTTAAGAGTTGACAAGAGTAATATACTGAAAATTAGTTTAGAAGTGTTTCAAGTTTTGAGAAATCAATCAAAATCAAATTAAGTTCTGAAGATACCGTCTGGAGAGCTTCAGGATGAGAGAAGATCTGACCTAGCCATGCAAGCTGGCAGGCGCAGCCCTTTCTGAACTTGGACGTGTAGAACTGGCTCGCCTAAGCTCGGCTCCTGCATGGGTGTGTTGATCAAGGACTCAGACGCAGCAGGATTCCGGCAAGCTGTCGGCACGAGATTCGGCCCGCCGAGATCAGATCCCATGCAGGGCAAAGAACGATGCCCGCACATGGTGGAGAGCCAGAAGCACTGGAACTCCCTCCAGTTTTGGCCTCCCATGGGCACGAACCAGGATGTCAAAGAGAGTACTCCTGATGCATTCGGCTGTGTGAGAAGTTCCCTCTTGCTGAGTCAGCTACCCTTGTGCTGAGTCACCCATGCACCTGTCCAGTTTTCAGCTCTCTGCACTAGCTGGCGGCCCCTCACTCAGGCTTCACAGCTCCCCCTTGACTCTATATAAGGGTATTTGGGCCTGGGATACCGCTCAGTCCCTTGGGTTTGCGTGATTCCTATTCCTTTCTCTCTCTTTCAGGGCTTTGCACATTTTCTGTGACCCCCTGGGATTCACAAGCCTCTGAATACCTTCTTCTTTTCCTGAAACAATATCCTGTTTTCCAAACAAAGCCACATTTCAGCCTGTGTGGCGATTACAGCCATATGTGCAGTTTACTTCAGGTGCTTTGTTTTTTAACCACAGTTTACCCAAAATGCACCTCCGGGAACCGATCAGAGCCCTGAAAACAAACAGCAGCTGAAGGCGGTATAAGTCTGAGATTGCAGTGCAATTCCTGGTGCGGGAGGGGGGAAGTCTTTGAAAAATGCGCACATTTCCAAATTGTGCATTAAAATGGGCATTTGCAGAGTATGCGTAAATGACACTTTGATCTATGAGAAAAAGGGTATACTTGTATAC